AAAAATAATAAAATATTATAAAAGACATTTTTTTTAAATTAAGGGCTAAGTTGGGCATAACGGCACACACCTTTAATTGCAATACTCAGGAGGCAGAGGTAGATGGATCTTTTTGAGTTCTAAGCCATCCAGATATACATAGTGAAACCTTGTCTCAAAAAAACAACAACAAATAGGGACTGGAGAAATGGCTCAGCAGTAAAGAGCACTGGCTGCTCTTGCAAAAGAACAGGGTTCAGTTCTCAGCAACCACATCGCAGGTAGCAATTACAGTTCCAAAGGATCCAATGCCCCTTCCGGCCTCCTGGGACACTGCACACACATGGTGCACACACATACATGCAGGCAAAACACTCATACATATAAATAAAAATAAAAAATAACCACACACACACACTCACACAGGGCTGGTTTACGTAAGGAACTTCCATGCTAGATCAGGTAAGGAGTAGACAGAGGAGGTAAAAGGTGGTGGCAGGAGACACAGCAGTGCTCTGGATGCCCTCAGGAGGACAAGTAAATGACAAAGTGGGCAGAAAGACTTAAGATTGAAGAAAGCATGCTCTGAATGTTCTGCCTCTCCTGTGGCCTCTGCTTATAACCCCAGTCCCTTAGCCAGAGGCCAGCTGTTCGTAGACTGTAACCATGTCCTAGACTGTGCCTCAAAAGTCACTGACCCCCCCACCCCCACTCTGTATTCCCTGAGCTACTTTTTTTTTTTGAGATAGGGTCTTAAGATGTAGTCCAGGCTAGCTTTGAACTCACTATCCTCCTGCCTTACTCAGTTCTGCATTTTTCAGTGTTTGTCTCAGGACAGGATCACTATCCCTTCACTTTGATTTCCATTCTAGAAATCTCTAGATTGCTCTGATATTTTACTTAGTGTTTTAAATTTGCTGTGTAGCCACAATATAGACAAGACTCACCTTGATTTTCCTGCCTCAATCTCCCAAGTAACTGGGACTACAGATGTGTTTCACCACACCCAGTTTATGAAGTGCTGGGGATTGACCCTGAAGCTTCCTGCATGCTAGACAAGCACTCTACCAAACTAAGTTGCTTCCCATCTCAGGCTCTTGATTACTCTAATACAGTTCACCTCCTGCTTCCTCTGCGAGACCAACACAAAAGGAAGAGGGTTCTAGAACCTGGTGCAGATCTGCTGACCTGTTGTAATGCAGGCTTTGCCCCTTTCCAATCCAGGTCCATCTTATCCCCAGTGATCCAATCTTACTTTCAATGGCCATAGGCACCTACCATCTCTGGGACGAGGACTGGGCATGCGGGTAGTCTCAGAACCATCCTGCTGGAATTGGAGTCCTGACTCCTCTGGGCCTGGCTCAGCATGGAGAGAAAAAGAGATGGCTGTTACATTGGGGGCCATGTCCCTCGGGTTGGGTCATCCAACCTTCCCAGGGAGGGACAGACAAAAAGGACCTTATGGGCCCCCAAAGAACTGCTCCTCGATGGATGAGAAATGCCACTCTGAGGTCTAAGGCAGAACTCTGTGGTTAAGGCTTTGGGGAGGAAGAGGAGGGCCTATTAGGCCTGAACACCAAAAAAAGACAGAGATAACCACTTTTCTACAGTAATCCAGGAACAGAAAGAATTGACCATGTTCTGTCAGCGCCCCCTTTTCACTGATTTCTGTCAAAAGGCACAAGGGGGCTGGAGAAATGGCTCAGTAGTTAAGAGCACTGGCTGCTCTTCCAGAGGACCGGGGTTCGATTCCCAGCACCCACATGGTGGCTAACAACCATCTGTAACTTCAGTTCCAGGGGGTCAGACACTCTCTTCTGACCTTTGCGGGCTTTGCAAGACACAGGTGCACCTTCATACATTCAGGCAAAACAATCATACACATATAATAACCTTTTTTAAAAAGCCGCAGCTAGCTCTGGGGTGGGAGTCAACTCTAGCTGCTTCCCACCCATTATTAACACGTAGAGAGAACCTTGACTCAGCAGTGAGCAAGCGGCTCCGCCCTTTACAAGTTCAAACAGCACACTGCAGACCCTGCTTGGGACGCGCCCTAGTCTCTGCCTGCAGAGGATTCACCCCTACGGTCATGGCCGTATTACGCAGCCGCAGAGAGCACCAAGGGCGAGGCTACTCCCCTGCGCAATGCTCTCACTGCAGTGCCAGAGACTTCCCGAGCTCTCCTCTCCGACCCCGCCCTGCTCTCGCAGCAGGGAGTGACAGAGGCCCCGCCCATAAGGCAATGAGCGCCTGCCTACTGCCCAACGCGCCTCTTCAAGCCCGCCCACACGGCAGAGAGCGCCTGCACATTGCCCCACGGGGTTCGATTCCCAGCACCCACATGGTGGCTAACAACCATCTGTAACTTCAGTTCCAGGGGGTCAGACACTCTCTTCTGACCTTTGCGGGCTTTGCAAGACACAGGTGCACCTTCATACATTCAGGCAAAACAATCATACACATATAATAACCTTTTTTAAAAAGCCGCAGCTAGCTCTGGGGTGGGAGTCAACTCTAGCTGCTTCCCACCCATTATTAACACGTAGAGAGAACCTTGACTCAGCAGTGAGCAAGCGGCTCCGCCCTTTACAAGTTCAAACAGCACACTGCAGACCCTGCTTGGGACGCGCCCTAGTCTCTGCCTGCAGAGGATTCACCCCTACGGTCATGGCCGTATTACGCAGCCGCAGAGAGCACCAAGGGCGAGGCTACCCCCCTGCGCAATGCTCTCACTGCAGTGCCAGAGACTTCCCGAGCTCTCCTCTCCGACCCCGCCCTGCTCTCGCAGCAGGGAGTGACAGAGGCCCCGCCCATAAGGCAATGAGCGCCTGCCTACTGCCCAACGCGCCTCTTCAAGCCCGCCCACACGGCAGAGAGCGCCTGCACATTGCCCCACCCCCGGAGCTGCACAGAGCCAGCGACACGAAACTTCAGATTCGGCCCCGCCTACACTGCAGTGTGCGCACGCGCACGTCAGTCTACGCCTCTTCAGGCTCCGCCCACGCAACAGTAAGCGCCTGAGTGTGGCCCCACCCATGCTTCCTTAGACCGTGGCCCGGTCCCCTTTTAAGATTGCCTCTCCCACTCCGTAGTGAGTACCTGCGCATAGCTCCGCCCATGACTCGGCCGTGCATGCTCTAAACGTCACCCCAACCCCCTCTCCATATTGTGCTCCATTATCCACAAAGAGTGCCTGCGCAAGGCCATGCCCACGCCGCCACAGGTCTCGCTGCGCGTGCACACTACACGCGCGGTTCCGCCCTTCTTCCTTCCGTGCCTGCTCGCTCACGTCGCAAGGAACACCGGCTACTCGAGGCCCCGCCCACACCCCCGGTACTCTGCCCCTCTCGTTCCGCAGGGCAAGCTGAAGCTCACCTGCACACAGCGCTCCGGCGTCTTCGTGATGGCCGCAGTTGTGCTGGCCCCAGCCCAGGTGGAAGCAGTCACTGAGGCGGGCCTCTGTACCCGTGCATCCTACATTGTCCAGTAGCACCGGGCCTCGGCCGTAGCCGAAGTGACCGAGACCCGTGGCGCCTAGCGCGGGCCCGCAACCCGCCTCACGACAGGCCACGCGCGCGTCCGCGAAGTCCCAGTCGTCGTCGCACACGGTTCCCCAGCCCCCGGCGTACAGCACCTCCACGCGGCCCCGGCACGGGCTTGGGCCGCCCACCAGCCGTAGCCGCTGGCCTACGGGGCGCACAGGCCCGCGGCCAGGGGCTGCGCTGGTGCTGCTGGCTCCCAAGGCGTAGCCCACGCCCCACCCCACCCACCCCCTGCGGAACCCTGCAGCCACTTACTCTTTTTCCCTCGGGCCCAGGGTGCTGTGCTGTGAACTGCGGGGTCTCCTGAAGACTGAGCACCAACTCCAGTAGCTATGGAGACCAGGGAACATTTCAGGGGGACAAGAAGACACCCACCCTTTTCCAAGTCCCCAAGTCACCATGCTTTATTTCAGACAAGGCACTGCCCAATAGCACATATTGACACAATTAAAACTCATCCTGCCTCAGCTTCCTAAGGAATGGGATTACACACATGTAGTACTATGCAAGACAAACTTTGTGGGTCTTGGGAATCGAACCCAGGTCCTCTGCAAGAGCAGTCAGTGCTTAACCTTAACCGCTGAGCCATTTCTCCAGCCCCCAAACTTTGTTTTTAATCTTGCTTTCTAAAAAGAATTATTGCTGGGTGTGGTAGCAACTCCTTTAATGTCAGCACACAGAAGGCAGAGAGGTGGATCTCTGAGATCAAGGCCAGCCTGGTCTACATAGTGAGTTACAGGTCAACTGAAGTTACAAGAGGCTGTCTTTAAAAAAAAAAAAAAAAAAAGTGCATGCGTGTGCATTGACTGCAGGTGCCAGCAAAGAGGCCAGAAGAAGGCATCAGATCTGGTACTGAAGTTAGGTCGTTGTGGGTGCCGGGAAGCAAACCTAAGGTCCTCTGCAAAAACAGCAAGTTCTCTTAACTGTGGAGCCATCTCTCCAGTCCGTTTTTGGCTTTTAAAATGTTTTATTTAAATTGTTTTTACTTTATGTGGATGAGTGTTTTGCCTGCATGTTTATAAGTGTACCATGTGCATGCAGTGTCCATAGAGTCAGAAGATGGTGTCAGATGCCCTGGAACTAGTTACAGGATGGTTGTGAGCCCAGCATGTGGGTGCTGGGAACTGAACCTTGGGGCCTCTGCAAGAGCAACCAGTGTTCTTAACTGCTGAGCCATCTCTAGAACCCCCTGTTTTTTGTTTTTTTATTTTTTATTTTTTGTCTTTTTGAGACAGGGTCTCCCTATAGCCCAGCTGTCCTGGAACTCACTATGTAGACCAGGCTGGCCTTGAACTCTCAGAGATCCGCCTGCCTCTGCCTCCCAAGTGCTGGGATTAAAGGCGTTCACCACCATGCCTGGCTTGTTTTTTGCTTTTTTGTAACAAGGTATTTGGGGCCAATGAAATGGTTTAGGAGATAAAAGGGCTTGCTGCCAAGCCTGAAGACATGAGTTTGATCCTTAGGACCCACATGGTAGAAGAAGAAAACCAACTCCCATAAGTTGCCCTCTGACCGCCATGTATGTATGTATGTATAAATAATAAATAAATAAATAAATAAATAAATAAATAAATGAAATAATTAAAAAGAGGTCTGGGCATGATGGTGCACACCTTTAATCCCAGCACTGGGGAGGCAGAGGCAGGTGGACCTCTGTGAGTTCAAGGCCAGCCTAGTCTACATACTGAGTTCTAGGTCATTTGCATACAGGGAGATTCTGTCTCAAAAGACAAAAAAAAAAAAGAGAAAAAGAAAAAAGAAAAACGGTATTGACTGTATTAACTGCTCAGATTGTCCTGGAACTCATCTAGTCTAGGCCAGCCTTAAACTTCCAGAGACCTTCCTTCCTCAGCCTCCAAAATGTGTTTGCTATCAACCCAGCTAGCAAGCCTAATCTCAATTATCCTAATTTAATCATATTATTTCTCTCTTTTGAGCACTTGACCACTTCAGTAATACTAGTAGTTCCCTAAATCTTAATAATTCTAATTTTAACCACAGTGATAACTCTAGCCCTAATTCCAATTTTCTGACTCAGCCACAACCCCTAATTTTGCTTACCAACCCATAGGACACTTTGGATCTCTGAGTGCCATCTTGGCTCCTATCTGTTCGTCTCTCCTCACCCACCTTGACCATCTAGCCCAAAGCCCTGGTTTGGTAGGTCTCTCTTCCTGTGACCCCAGAACAATCTTCCCAGTCCCCAGTCTTACCCACCTTACCCCACCATTCTGGCCTGGAGGATAGGCTCTTTACCTGCTGGCTCTGTGTGCCAGGCCCAGTCCTGTCTTGTGGCAGAGGGTGGCAGTGCTGTGAAAGTTGGAGGGCCCAGAACTAGAGAAAGGGAGAAGAAAGAAGAGTTAGCCATGAGGCCTAGGCTATCTCCCAAAAGTAAAGAGATTTTACTTCCAGGGCTGGAGGCCTAGCTGGGATACAAGGAGCCCTGCCCCATTTTGACAGTAGTAATTTATTTGTAATACACAGATATATACAGGGCTGTCACATGTTTTTACTTCTGTGTCCAATGTTTGCAGAAGCCCAGTGTGTCCAAGATACAGAGATGCAGAAAGTTTTTTCCACTAAGGACCTCAAGGGACTTGAAGAATAAGACTCATTGTCCCATTCTAAGGCTGGTGTTGTAGCTTAGTTTTTTTAGAGTCCCTGCCTAGCATGCATGAGGCTGTGGGTTCATCCCCAGTACCATATAAACTGGGCATGGTGGTGCAGGCCTATAAGGTGAAAGGAAGCAGGAGGATCAGAAGTTAGAAGTTCAAGGTCATTCTCAGCCACATAGCAAGTCTGAGGCCAGTCTGAGTGTCAAGTGCCAAAGTTCTAGGGCAGTGTGGGAACCATGGAAGGCTGGGGGTGGGGTGTGGAAAGAAGAAAGGGAAGGGAAATCAGGGTTCAATATCATCCTCAATTTGATGCTGGCCTCAAACTCCCTAAGTGGTGGGGGGATGACCTTGACCTTCAGATCCTCCTGCCTTCACCTCCCAGGTGCTGGGATTACAGTTAAGGGTCATCACACATGGTTTTAGGCAGTGCTAGGGATGGAACCCAGGGCTTTATTCATGCTAAGCAAGCACTCTACCAACTAAGCTACATCCACAGCCGAAAGCCTACCTCTTACTGGCTGAAACACCAAAAAGGAGAATATTGTCAGAATAATCTATTTGTTAGACTGTGCAGAGACCTGCAGCTAGGGGTGTCTAAAGTATCTTTAGGGGTGTGAAGGTGAGCAATTCTAGACTACTACTACTTTATTACAAAATGGTCCATGAAGAATACTTGGAAATTGCCAGAAAATTCTAGAGGCATTCCTAGCAACACAGAAATACAACAGTAGTATTGCTACATAACTGTGGGATGTGTGGTGGTGAGTACTGGAATATTCTGAGGAGCTTTCTAGAGCAGACTGAGAATACAAGTAATTCTAGAGCCTTTCTGGAGAGATCTAAGAGGCACAGGTAGCCAAACCCTTTCTCCAGCTAGACCTTAAGTGGCTTCCCCCAGCCCTCAGCCCTCCAGGCCCCAGCCCTCCAGGCCCCGCCCCCACCAGCTTCCCACACCTGCACAGAGAGCGCCTGCATCCTCATGGTGTCCGCAGTTGTGCACGCCCCAGCCCAGGCTCTGGCAGACTGCAAGACGGGGCTCGCCGCCTTCGCAGTGTACGTTGTCCAATAAGATATGTCCCGTGCCATAACCAAAAAAGGCGTTGGTGGGGGCAGCCAAGGCGGCCCCACAGCCCATCTGGCGGCAGACCACTGCGGCATCCGGCAGCCCCCAGTCATCGTCGCACACGGTGCCCCACAGGCCACCATGCAGGATTTCCACTCTGCCCTGACAAGGGCCGGCACCGCCCACCAGACGCACACTGCCCTCACCTGGTGATGTGGATGGAGGGGTGGGACAAGGAGCATTCTACAGGCCCAAAAAGTGGCACTTCCATCCCCCTAAACTAAGGCACCAGGTCTCCACAAGGGACAGTATCCTGGGCCCCAGTACCACAACCCCAGCGGGGAGCTGGTCACCCCTGCACCTCCAGGACCAATCGTTCTTACAGTTCAGGTAAGATGGGTCCAGGGTTGGTTTGTGCTTTCCAGGATAGCCAGCTTCAATTGTGTCATTCTCACCTAAACCGAGCCTTGGCTTCCCTAGTCCCTGCTGGGCTGGATATCTCGAATGTGCCTGTTAGTCATGTACTACTGTCCAGGGAAACCACACTTTGCAAGACAGAGAAGCCCGTCCTGACCTCCTGATAGATGGCATCTCCTTTCCCCCCATCCTCTTCTTTCTCCTTCTCCTGCTCTTTTTCCTCCAGCTCCTCTCCTGCAATTCCTTTTACTTTTCTCCCTTCCTTCCTTCCTCTCTCCCCCTCCCCCCTCCCCCTCCCTAGAACCCAGGGTCTTAAGGTTGCTAAGTGTGTATTCCACTTCTACCACTGAGCTATACTCCCCAGCCCTGCATCCAAGGCTTATGCTCAGCAGGGAGAAGTCAACGTTTAGGCATACCAGGAAAGCAGATCCTGCCTTCCATGAGCTTCTGATCATGGGCAATTAGGACACAGATACTCCTTGAAATTATACAAATCCAGACGCCCCTTCTCCATGTCATAAGCTGGAGCTTGGAGCCCCTACCTCCCTCACTTCCTCTAGCCTACCAAGGGAGAGTATAGGAGCCTCCTGAGACCCAGGTGGTCTCCCACACCCCACACTACCATGACTTACCTTTCCCATTCTGGACGGCTATAGGGAGTGCTCTACTGGTTAACATCTTCCTTGTTGGGGGCTGTGTGTGCAAGAATTCTGTGGAGGAAGCAGGGTAGAAGCAACGATACAGGGATCTTTCTGTTCTCCATCCTCACCCACAGGGCATATGAGGGTCAAGTGCCTGGACCCCTAAAGTGCCTCCCCCAAGGCCAAGGACCCTGGATATGAAGTCACAAGAATTCTTAATAATAACAATAATAATAATAATAATAATAATAATAGAGCCGGGTATGGTGGTGCACTCCTGTAGTCCCAGCACTTGGGAGGAAGAGGCAGATGGATCTCTGTGAGTTCAAGGCCAGCCTGGTCTACATAGTGAGTTCCAGGACAGCTGGGGCTATAGGGAAACCCTGTCTCAAAAAGACCAATAATAATAATGATAACAATAATTTTTTATTATTATAAACAGGGTCTCTTGTACCCCAGGCTGACCTCAAACTCACTATGAAGGCAAAGATGACCTTGAACTTCTGATCCTTCTACCTTCTAGATGCTAAAATTACAGATATGTGTTACATGCCTGTCTTTAACAAACATTTTTATTTTACGTGTATGAGTGTTTTGCCTGCATGTATGTAGGTGTACCATATGCATGCCTAGTGCTCAAGGTCAGTAGAGGGTATCAAATTTCCTGGAACTGGAGTTACAGATGATTGTTAGCTGTCATGTAGGTACTGGGAACTAAACCTGGGTCCTCTGCAAGAGCAGCCACTGCTCTTAACTGCTGAGCGAGCTCTCTTAAAGACCTGCTCCTGTGTGTTTTGCTGTGTGTGTGTGTGTGTGTGTGTGTGTGTGGTATGTACACATGTGTGCAAATGCACACACCCGTGTGTACACGTGGAGGCCAAAGCTTGATGTTGGGTGATCTCTATTGCTCCCTATTTTAATTTTTGACAGATTCAAACCTGGATCTCATCACTTTGACTAGATCCACTTGCCTCTTCCTCTCTAGCACTGGGGTTACATACATACCACCACATCTAATATTCTACTTGGGTGCTGGAGATCCATACTCAGTTCCTTATGTTTGCACAGCAAGCACTTTACCCACTGAGACATCTCCCCAGGCCCTAAGCTGAGTTATTTGTTTTGTTTTGTTTTTCTTTATTTGAGACAGGTTCTCACTATGAAGCCCTGACTGGCCTGGAACTTACAGAGATCTGCCTGCCTCTGTCTCCAGAGTACTGGGATTAAAGGTGTGTGCTACCATGCCCTGCCTAAGCCCAACCCTCTTTCCCTCCCCCGACCTTTTTAAAAGATTTGTTTATTTTTATTTTATGTGTATTTGGTATGTTTTTGGTGTCTGCAGAGGCCAGAAGAGGGTGACAGAGGCCCCATATGGATGCTGGGAATTAAACTTGGATCCTCTGCAAAAGCAGCAAATGCTGTAAACCACTGAGTCATCACTCTAGCCACTAAATCCTAAACCACTGAGTCATCACTCTAGCCACTAAATCCAATTTTTTTGTGTGTTGTTGTTTGTATGTTTATATGTTGAGACAGGTTTTCCTTGTAGCCAAAGCTGGCCTGGAACTTCCTATGTAGACCAGGCTGGCCTCCATCTCCAGAGATCTACCTGCCTCTGCCTTTCTAGTGCTGGGATTAAAGGCCAAGAGCCACCATGCCTGGCTCTAAGCCCAGCTCTTAATGAAGCTGACATCCTTGGGGAACTTACTAGAAAAGCTGATGCTCAGGCCCCATCCCAGACCTGCAGAATCAGTAGTTCTAGGCTAGAACTACAACTTGTGTTTTCATAAGCTCTGCATGCTGGAAAACTGCTGTCAAGGTCAAAGCTTCTGAGTTTCTGTTGCAGTTCTAGCTCAGTAAATCTTATGGCCAGGGTGAGCCAGGTGGTCTGGTCTTTAAAATGGGAGGCGTGCAGGGCATGGTGGGGCATGTCTGTAACTTCAGGACTTGGCAAAAGTAGGGCGGAGGATCAGGAATTCAGTGTCAGCCTCAGCTACACAGTGTTCCAGGCCAACTTGGGCTATGTGAGACCCTGACTCCAAAACAAAAGAGAACAAAGTCAGGTTCATCAGTACAAGCATCTGCCTCGAATTCCCCAGTGAGGGGCTGGGGGTATGGCTCAGTGGTAGAGCCCCAGCCTGGAGTTGCCCAGTGAGGGGGGATTTGGTTTGGCTCTGCGGTTGAGCAGTTGGTTACAATCAGCCAGTGAGGTGCTGGGGGCGTGGCTCAGTCATACAGTGCTCAGGTATCATGTTTGTGAGGCCCTAAATTCAATCCCCAGCACTGCAAAAAAAAAAAGAAAGAAAGAAAGAAAGAAAGAAAGAAAGAAAGAAAGAAAGAAAGAAAGAAAGAAAGAAAGAAAGAAAGAAAGAAAGAAAGAAAGAAAGAAAGAAAGAAAAAGGGGGAAAGGAGGCAAACTCTGCGGGGGCAATCAAGCATTCCATGGAAACAATGTTGTACTTCTTTGGTCCAAGGTCTCCCAATGAGTCAGAACTCCAGCATCAGCTTGCCTGACCACTGGGAAAGCCACCCATTCATCTAGCCTACCACCCTGTAGTCTCCCCTCCCTCTGCTCACCATCACACAGGACGGCCACATCTTCATAGTGAAAACAATTGTGGACACCCCAACCCCGGCTGCCACACTCGCTCAGAGAGGCTTCCTGTCCCTGGCACTCCACGTTATCCAGCAAAATGGGACCTCGGCCCTGGCCGAAGGCGAGGGGCCGAGGCACGGGCAGTGCCAGGCCACAGCCCAGCTGACGACACACCACGTTGGCATCCACCACGTCCCAGTCATCGTCGCAGACGCTGCCCCAGGAGCCCCTATGCATGACTTCTAGGCGCCCTCGGCAGCGGCTTGGGCCACCCACCAGCCTCAGCTCTGTGAAGAGGAGATAAGCTGGCACCAGAGGGCACATGGAGCCCAAGATGCCACGGGAGTCTTCTGTGAAATTGGGGTGGCTGGGCAATGTCAGCCTGGAGTACTTGGTAGCAAGGAACGGGGTCGGGGGTGGGGGTGGGGGTGAAACATACCTGGAAAGGGCAGGAGACTGGGCTGGAGGGCGCTGGCTGAAACAGAGGGAGAGAGTAGTGGGTCTCTTGGCTTAAGCCTTAGGGGTCTGGTCCCTTCATTAGTGTCCCCTCTCTGACATGCCTCACCATCATGCCCCTCCTCTTGGAAGTCTCCTTTTTCCAGTCTCTTTCTCTACCTTACCCCTTCTGAATGGTCCATTGCCCACTGCAGAAGATTTGCCTAACACGGGTTGGTCTACTCTATGGAGACATCTAACACTTTGCTAACCACATGAGACTTAGCACCCCAGGATTTTCTAAAAAGCATTATTTTTTTTGTTTTATGTTTTTGTAAGAATTAGGGACTTTCAGGGCTAGAGAGATGGCTCAGCAGTTAAGAGTACTGGCTGCTCTTCCAGAAGATCCAGATTTGATTGCCGGCACCCACATGGTGGGTAACAAATGTCTATAAATTCAGTCCCAAGGGATCCAACACCCTCTTCTAACCTCCATGAGCATTGCACGTGGGTGCACTTACACACGTGCAGGCAAAACACTCATAAGATATTTTTAAAAAGAATTAGGGGCTTGGACCTCAAGAGATAGCTCAACGGTTAGGAGCACTGGCTGCTCTTCCAGAGAACCCAGGTTTCGGTTCCCAGAACCCACAAGGCAGTTAACCATCCGGGACTCCAGTCTTGGGGAGGGGGGTTCAATGCCCTCTTCTGGCCTCTGTGGGCATTGTACACATGTGGTGCACTTACATGCAGGCAAAACACTCATATACATAAAATTTTAAAATAAATTTGGTCCTTTTTTGAAACAAGGTCTCCCTGTAATCATAGCTGGCCTGGAACTCACTATGCAGATCAGGCTGGTCTCAGTCCCACAGAGATCCACCTGCCTCTGCCTCCTGCATGCTGGAATTAAAGGTGTGTGCCACCATGCTCGGCCAAAAAAATAAAAAATTTTAAATTAGGGGCTGGGGAGATGGCTCAGCAATGAAGAGTACTTGGCAGCTAGCAACTGTTGGTAACTCCAGTTCCAGGACATCCAATGCACTCTTCTTGCCTCTGCAGGCATTGCATATATGGAACACATTTATATACATGCAGACAGCACTCATACACATAAAATAAAAATAAAATATTTTTAAAAGGATTAAAAAACTTACTGCATTTATTTATATGTGTGTATCTGTGTTTGGGTAGATGTGTAACATGTGTGGAGGTCAAGAGACAATTTGCAGGAGTTGGTTCTCTGAGCTACACAGGGAAAATTTGTCTCAAAAGAGACAAAGAAGGACTGGAAAGATGGCTCAGTGGTTAAGAGCACTTGCTCTTCCAGAGGAACCAAGTTCAATTCTCAGTAACCATATAATGCCCCAGCTTCTGGGGGATCTGACACCTCTGGCCTCCACAGATACTTGCACTCGTGCACATGCCCCCACACAGACACATATATATACACATAATTAAAAATAAAAATAGGGACTGGAGAGATGGCTCAGTGGTTAAGAACACTGCCTGATCTTGAAGATCAGGGTTCAATTCCCAGCACCCACATGGTGGCTAACAACCATATATACCTCCAGCTCTAAGGGATCCAACTCCCTCTTCTGGACTCTGTAAGCATTACATGACACAGGTGCATTTACATACATGCAGGCAAAGTACATTAAAAAAAAAAACAAATAAAAATTGGGCTGGAGAGATGGCTCAGCGGTTAAGCACATTGGTTGTTCTTGCAGAAGACCCAGGTTCAAATCCCAGCACCCACATGGCAGCTAACAACTGTCTGTAACTCCAGTTCCAGGGGATCTGACAGCCTCTTCTGTCCTCTGCAGGCATTGCACAACATGGCTGCACTTACCTACATGCAGGATATACTCATACACATAAAATAAAAATAATAAATAAATAAATAAAAATTACCAAGGGTGGTGCACATTTCTTTAATCCCAGCACTTGGGAGGCAGAGGCAAGCAGATCTCTGTGAGTTTGAGGCCAGCCAGGTCTACATAGTGAGTTCCAGGCCAGCTGGGGCTACAGGGAGACCCTGTCTCAAAAAGACCAATAAATAAATAAATAAATACTAAAAACAAATATAAAATCTTTTTTTTAAAAGCCCAAAAGAGCATAAAACAAAACAAAACAAAAAACAGATAATCCAGGCATGATGGCACACATCTTTAATCCTAGCATTTGGGTGGTAGAGGCAGGTGGATCTCTGTGAGATCCGGACCAGCTTGATCTACATAGTGAGCTCCAGGCCAGCTGGAGCTACAGGGAGACCCTGTCTCAAAAAGAAACAAACAACAACAGCAATAACAACAGAAAGATAAAGAAGAATCCAGATAATTCCTAGTCCATGTCTTACTATGGTATTTTTCTTAAGATATTTATTACATTAATTAATTGTGTATGTGTACGATGATGCCACAGCACACATGGAGGTCAGAGGACAATGTAGTCAGGTGCTGTAAGAAGGTTCCTTCCAGGGCTGGAGAGCTGGCTCAGTGGTTAAGAACCCTAGTTGTTCTTGCAGAAGACCCAGGTTCGAATCCCAGCACCCACATGGCAGCTAACAACTGTCCATAATGACAGTTCCAGGGGATCCGGTAGCCTCTTCTGTCCTCCGCGGGCATTGCACAACACGGGTGCACTTACCTACATGCAGGCAATACACGCATACACATAAAATAAAAATAATAAATAAAATATTTAAAAAAAAAGAAGGTTCCTTCCTTCCACCTTGTGGGTCTGAGAATTGAATTCAGGTTATCAGGCTTGGCGGCAAGCACCTCTACTTGCTGAGCCATCTTGCCAGCCCCATTTTGTGTTATTTCCTATTTGCTTGTTTTTGTTTTTCGAGACAAGGTCTCATATAGTCCAAGCAGGCTTTAAGTCACTTTAAAGTAGCTGAGAATGATCTTGAACTTCTAATCTTCCTATTTTTACCTCCGAAGTGCTGGGGTTACAGGTATAACCCACCATGCCTGGTCTCTCACCATGGTAGTAGGACAATGGGAAAAACTGAGAGTCAGAAAGAGGTAGCAGGGGCCAGCTAGGAACACTCACCCAGTGGAAAGAGAAGGAAGATGGACAGTGCTGGGGAGAGGGACAAAGGGGCAGCACCTCCATCCACAGGCCTCGACCCCTGGCTCCACTCATCAGGCTGGGGTCCAATGGGCATCTCTGCTTCTTTGTGCATCCAGCAGGTAGATGGCTTTTCAGAGGGTCCCATCAAAAGTCCGTGGAGAAGTCACAGCTGAAACATCTGGAATTCAAGATCCCTAGCTGTGGTGGTTTGAATGAAAATGTCCCTCATAGGCTCCAAGTATTTGGACATTTTGTCCCCAGATGGGTGCTGTTTTGGGAGGTTTTAGAAGGTGTGGCTAGCCTGGAGGAAGCACGTCACTGGGGGTGGGCTTAGAGAGTTCTTAAGCCTTGCCAGATTGCCAGTTGCCAGTCGCCCTCTTGCTTCCTGTTCCTGTGTGATGATGTGAGAGCTTAGCTGCTGCTGCTCCTGATCCAGCCACCTCCAGCCACCATGCTTCCCTGCCATGATGGACTGTAATGCCCCTGGAACCATAAGCTCAAATAAATTCTTCCTTCTATAAGTTGCTTGGGCCAGTGTTTCTATCACAGCAACAGAAAAGTGACTAATACAGTAATTGGTACCGAGAGTGGGGTGTTGGCTGTGAAGAACCTGACCATGTGGGGTTTTGGAAAAATGTGGAAGACTTTGTAAGTTTGGGCTAGAAAAGTGGTTGATTGCTGTAAGCAGAGCTTAACAGGCCGTTATAGTAAACACCTGGAAGAAAGTAGTACTGAGAACAATGTAGTTCCAGAGGGAAATAAGGACTTAAGCAGCACTTGGGATATTTTGGCAGAGCCTGGCTGGAGTCTGCCCTCAACCTAAAAGCTTGCCTGAGGCTAGGCTGAAAAGCAATGGACTAATTTCTCTGGTGGAAGAAATTTCAAGACAGCCTAATGTAGAAATGGTGGCATGGATATTAATGGTGAATATTATGCAGATCTACAGTGAAAAAGGGCAAATGGGGCAGAAAGAAATACAGTTTGGATTGAAAAAGAGAACTAGAAAGATAAATGTTCAGCCTTGGCATGTGCTGGAGAAGATCCCTTTGATAAGGAGATTAAAGTGATTAAGGAGGGGCCTAGAGATTCAAATTTAAACAATGGAGAGAGTGCCTCCAGGGCAAGACCACACCCAGTTAAGCCTCCAACTTGTGAAAGGAAAATGCTGCAGGGGCCATGGAAGAGAAAAGCTTCTAAAATGGATAAAGCAGGCTGGAGTCCACCCCACACTTGCAGTCAAACTTGGCATTGTTGTTCACCTGGTGCTGGCTTTAGAGGCATGAAAGATAGAAGAGTGAAGGGGTCATCAGTTCTTCCTCCGAAGTTTCAGAGCAGGGGTTCCCCTCCCTAGAGAAGGCCCTGATAGGCCATTGCATGAAGCTGTGACAGTGACGCCTAGTTGGCAATGGAGACTCCAAGAAGTTCGTGATGCCAGAGCTGTGAGGCATCTGCATAGAGAGTGGTACCGGCACAAGAGAGAGATGTGTGTTGCACGCTGCAAAGCTGGAGAGGCTGAGCCATCTAAGCCCTTTGAAAGTGAAGTCCCAGAAGCTGGACATGGAGCTACTGGATTTGGTGTTTGTCCTGCTGGTTTTCGGTCTTGTTTTGGTTCCGTATTTCCTTACTATGCTTCTATTCTTCCTTTTTGGAATGATAATGTGTATTTAGTTCCACTCTATGTTGGGAGTATGTAATTTGTCTTTTGATTTATAGAGGCTTACACTTAAAATATTTACCTGAGTCCACTTTGGACTGTGGACTTTTGAATGGTATTGAGACTGATAATGACTATGGGGACTTTTAAAGTTGGACTAAATGCATTTTGCATTTTATATGGTCATGAGCCTATGAGGGCCAGGGAGTGGAATGTGGTGGTTTGAATGAAAATGTCCCCCATAGGCTCCAAGAATTTGGACATTTTGTTCCCAGATGATGGTACTGTTTTGGGAGGTTTTAGAAGGCTAGCCTGGAGGAAGCACGTCACTGGGGGTGGGCTTAGAGAGTTCTTAAGGCTTGCCAGATCTCCAGTCACCCTCTTGCTTCCTGTTCCTGTGTGATGATGTGAGAACTTAGCCTCTGCTGCTCCTGGTCCAGCCACCTCCAGCCACCATGCCTCCCTGCCATGATGGACTGTAATTCTCCTGGAACCATAAGCTCAAATAAATTCTTCCTTCTAAAAGTTGCTTGGGTCAGTGTTTCTATCACAGCAACAGAAAAGTGACTAATACACTAGTGTTTACTTCAGCTATCTGGGTCAGCTGCAGGGAAAGAACACATCCACTTGGGGTTGACATTCCTAGAGGAGGGACAGATTGGGCACAACAACTAGGAGATCAGAAAGATGAATGTGGGGTGGGGGCATGGCTCAGATTCAGAGAGTCCCCCACTAAGGATTTCACAGTGTGGCCCAGCAGTAGAGCACCTACCTAGAGTCCCCCAGTGAGGGGCCAAGGTGTGTGGCTCAGTGGTAGAGAACCTGCCTAGAATCCCCCAGTGAGGGGCTGGGGGCATGGCTCAGTAGTAAAGTGCTCGTTGAACATGCACAGGCCATGGGTTCATTCCCAACATCACAAAAGGCTATGAAGGGGGACATGGGAGGATGGATGGAAACTAACAGGTTTTTGCTGTAGCTAAGACTGTGTGAAGAAGACAAAGGATGGCCGATGTGCTCAGACGGTTGGCTGTTTCCAACCAAACAGTCCCAGTGATTCAGAGTTTAACCTCCAAGGCTTCACCATCCCAAAGTGTGCTATTGGCACACTTAATTTAATAAACACAGGTACACAGGTACACTTAATTTAATAAAAAATGTTTCCCTGTTGTTCCCTAATAACGCACTTAATTTTAGGGGATAACAGGTATATGTTTAGGTTTTACTTTCATTGACTTTTTTTGTGTGGCAATTGGGAATGAATCAAGTGGTTTCATAAATGCTAAGCAAGTTACATCTGAGTTACATCTCCAGTCCTTTGTGTTTGTTTGTTTGTTATTTAAACTATGTCCACATAGCCCTGGATAGCACAACTAGCCCAAGATTTTTTTTTTTAAGATAGTCTTCCTATAGCCCCAGCTAGCCTGTAACTTGCTCTGTACATCAGGCTGGCCTTGATCTCACAGAGGTCTGCCTGCCTCTGCCTCTTAGTGCTGGGATTAAAGGTGTATGCCACCATTCCTGGCTTATTTTCATTTTTATTAATGTGTATGTATGTGTCTATGTGAGTGTAAGCCTCATGTGTGCTGATACCTTTGGAGGCCAGAAAATGGTGTCAGATCCCACACAGCTGGAGTGACAGATGGTTGTGAGCCACCATGTGGGTACTAGAAACTGAACTTTGCTCTCTGGAAGAGCAGGAAGCACTTTTAACTGCAGAGCCACCTTTCCAGCTCTACCAAGATTTTTGTTTTGGTCATTTTGAGATAGGGTCTCCCTGTAACCCCACCTGTCCTGGAACTCACTATGTAGACCAGGTTGGCCTTGAACTCAGGGATCCACTTGCCTCTGCCTTCTGAGTGCTGGGATCAAAGGTATGTGCCACCTTGCCTGGCAAGATTTTTCTTTTAAGTTTAGATTGAGGCAGTATAAAAAAAGTGTGGAGAGTATTCTAGGATTTGGAAAGCTGAAGCAGGAGGATCTCCAGTTCCAGGCCAGCTTGGGTTACAAAGTAAGATCCTGGGGGATCAGGGACTGGAGAGATGGCTCAGCAGTTAAGAGCACTGGCTGCTCTTGCAGAGGACCCAAGTTCAGTTCTCAGCACCCATATAATGGCTAATGACCATCTATAACTCCGGTTCCAAGGGACACAACATTCTCTTCTGGCCTCTGAGCACACTATATGCATAGGTGCACTTACATGCAGGCAAATCTGTCATACACATAAAAAATTAAATAAGTTTTAAAAATCCAGGTGTGATAGCCCGGGTCTATAATCCCGGCACTTGAAAAGTAGAAGAAATGGGCCTTCTGAGATGGTGTAGACAGTTAAGTGCTTGCAGCACTAGCATAAGGACCTCAGTTTGGATTTCTAGTACCCACATAAAAGGTTGTGTATGGTAGTGCATGCCTGTAATCCCAACACTGGGGAGACAAGACAGGAGCTCTGGAGCCTGTTTGCCAGGCTATCTAGCTGAATTGGTGAGCTCCAGATCAAGTGAGAGACCCTGTCTGAAAGCATAATGTGTACCAGGCATGGTGACCCACTCTTTAATCCCAGCACTTGGGAAGCAGAGGCAGGCAGATCGCTGTGAGAGCAAGGCCAGCCTGGTCTCCATAGCAAGTTCCAGGCCAGCTGGGGCTACAAGGAGACCCTGTCTCAAACAACAACAACAACAATAAAAACAACCAAACAAAGGCAAAAACAAACAAAAAAATAAGGTAGAGCCAGCCAAGCCTGATGACCTGAGTTTAATTCTTGGGGCCCACATGGTAGAAAGAGATTACCAATTCAGAGTTGTCCTCTGAACTCCACACATCTGCCTTGGCATACACACATAAATATGCATACATTAAATAGATATAAAAACTAAAAATAAGGTCGAGAGAATGATTAAGGAATACACTTGCTGTTGACCACTAGCCTCCCTACACACATTCACACACACTGATATGCACAAACACACAAAAGCAAGGTAGAGGCAGAAGGATCAAGAATTTAAGGTCATCCTCATCTATATAGCAAGTTTGAGGTCAGCCTGGGCTACATGAGACCCTGTGTCACAAAACAAGTAAAAAAACAAACAAAAACCAGGTATGATAGTTTATATCTGAAGCAGGAGGATTGTCAAAAGTTTGGGGCAAAGCCTGGCTGCCTAGTGAGTTCCAGGCCAGCCTGAGCTACAGAGGCTGAGACCCAGTCTCAACTCCCTCTACCCCTCTAAAAAAAAAAAAAATCCCAGAGGCAGGAGGATCTCTATGAGTTGGAGGCAAGCCTGGTCTACATAGAGTTCCTGGCCAGTCAGGGCTACATAATGAAACACTATCTCAAGAAGGGGGGGTATGAAAAAGCAGAGATATAAGAAATAGCTGGGGGTGGGGGACACAGTGGTTAAGAGCACTGGCTGCTCTTGCAGAAGACCTGGATTCGGTTCCTAGCACCCACATGGTAATTAACAACCATCTGTAACTCCAGTTCCAGGGATCCAACACCC